TTGCTTTCTATATGAAGGTGTATACCTAATATTACTTTAATTGGGATTTATTAGCCTGAGGGCTTTTAGATTGGTGGTTCCTAGGTTATACCATATAAGAGCAGGGGAGAATTTGTTCAGGACGTATGTTTTGCTGACATTTACATGGTACCGGGAAGTTCAGTTTCCACACTGGGGGCGTGGCTGTGCGGCTCTTTACGGTAGTTTTGTCTGTTATTAAGCGCACCCAGCTTGTGCCACATCGGGGGTATATTGGTCGCTGTGTGCTTCCTGTTTTGCTGTATTGGTGTTTGCTGAGGTAGGTCGCTTATTGCATCCCGTGAGCCTGTGGCTGAGTTGCAGTTTTTAATCTAATTCTGGTCTCTGGCCTGCTGTTCTCCTTCTAGTGAGCAAGCCTGCGAAGCTTGCAGTGTCCCCTCCCCTCTGCTTTCAGGGCAGTGGTTTCAGCGTATTGGTGGGTATGTGCGATCGTATACAGCCATTTATCGCATACTCTGGTGTGTAATGTTATTCTCTCGTTTGTTATATGTTTCGCAGGTTTGGCTGCATATGGCAGCAGGAGTGATTGTTGCTCCCTTGGTTTACATCTTGCAATCCCTGGCGATGCTGTTGCTTTGTCTACACTGAAGTTTTGTTTCTTCATTTGGTGGCCCTTCCAAATGTGCAATTGGGAGGCCCGCGATCATTTATATTGCCCCTTCTGCCGTGTGTCAGCGGTGGGGCAGTTTCTTTCTTTTTCTTTGTTTTGTTTTGTTGTACAGGAGCAGCAGGGTTGAAGTGGGCGGCAGGCTGAGTTGTAGGAGGCGGAGGGTTTTCTTTGTGTTGCACTGGTTTCCGCTGGAGAGGTGTGTTCACCAGTGCTGTGTAGTGTCTGGAAGGTGCCCTCTTTCCAGCCTGCCGTGGTGAGGCCCAGTGCTGGTCCTTGGTGTTTAAATTTGTTTTAATAGCCTAACTGGCTTTTAATGTATTGAGTGTAGCAATTATTTTATTTTCTATGTGGAAGTGTGTGGGAAAGGCGGATGCTGGCATTCCTGTTTGCCGATTAGTGCGGCTATTTGATCTTTTAATCTGCCCTTTTAAATTGTTAAATACATTTCTGTATTTCTATATGGGAAGTCATGTCTCTGGTCTTTATGGTGTGACTAGTTTGTGTGGTCTTCATAAATTGCCTTTATGAAAGGAATTACATATGGTTGTGTGGTCACACCTACAACACCAAGTGCAATGCAAAGCGTCACATGCAGTGGTGTAAAGCACAGTGCCACCAATGGACTCTAGAGCAGTGGAGTCGTGTTCTCTGGAATGATGAATCACGCTTCACTGTCTGGCAATCTGATGGACGAGTCTGGGTTTGGCGGTTGCCAGGAGAACGGTACTTGTCTGACTTCATTGTGCCAAGTGTAAAGTTTGGTGGAGGGGGGATTATGGTGTGGGGCTGTTTTTCAGGGGTTGGGTTTGGCCCCTTAGTTCCAGTGAAAGTAACTCTTAATGCTGCAGCATTCAAAGTCATTTTGGACAATTAAATGTTCCCAACTTTGAGAGGACAGTTTGGGGATGGCCCCTTTCTGTTCCAACATGACTGCACACCAGTGCACAAAGCAAGGTCCATTGGGACATGGTCTGGTGTGGAAGAACTTGACTGGCCTGCACAGAGTCCTGACCTCAACCCGATAGAACACCTTTGGGATGAATTAGGGCCTTCTTGAATTACTGTGAGCCAGGTCTTCTTGTCCAACATCGGTGCCTGACCTCACAAATGCTCTCCTGGAAGAATGGTCAAAAAATCCCATAAACACATTCGCAAACCTTGTGGACAGCCTTCCCAGAAGAGTTGAAGCTGTTATAGCTGCAAAGGGTGGGCCGACTCCATATTAAAGCCTATGTATTAAGAATGGGACGTCATTAGAGTTCATGTGTGTGTAAAGGCAGGTGTCCCAATACTTTTGGCAATATAGTGTATATGGGACACGAAGAGAGCTTCATATCTGTTACCAGATCTACGGAAGTGGGAAGGGAGATGGGATCAAATAAAATCGTTTTGTTAAATCATTGCAAATCACATCATGTATTGCGATAGTTCATACAAGTAGTCAAACATATAATCATAAAATAAAGCAATAAAATACAGTGCCTATGCTGGACAGTTTCAAGTCCCTGGGCAGTTGTTTGAAGTCCCTGGCTGGCTTGTTGTGAGATTGTTGCATCAGATTCTGATTGCACAGGATTAGGGCTCCATATGAGTGCTGCACATTCTGCTATGAGATGCTTTACTGCTTCATTGGCTTTAGATAGATTTTAAAAACCAATGGTCTTATATCTTGGGTCCAGCAGTGTTGAAATGGTCATAACATTTAATGGCTTCAAATTTGAGAGTCTGATGAGGTTTTCTTTCAGCTGTATCACTGTCCTTGTAGTCAGGTTAGTAGTATTACTGTGTAAAATGTGAAATAGTATTTTCATCATAGGAATGATTTGGAACTAGACACAACTTTTTCCTCAGATAGTTTCACTGTCGCTTCATTAAATGGTGCAAGCATGCATACATACAATGTCTTCTATGACTGCTACAGTAGCTCCTCTGCAGTGAGAGTTGCTACATCAGCTCCTAAAGAAGCACCGGAGATCCATAACAGTTCTTTTTACTCACTCATTCTAATAAACATATGGTAATTGCTGTTCCAGCGAGTTGGCACTTCATTTTAGCTAAACCTGAGCAATCTTCTCTTTAGCAGTGGTGCTTGATCTGAATATGTTATTATTTGCCATTTTTTGGTGCATAGAGTTCAGAGCATTCAGTTCTGCAGTTTGGTCAAACGATTTCTTGACAGTTACATTGTCACTTGACAGTTCGAGTGGGCAATGCAAACGACATGCCTTCATGCAATCATGTTGGGTGCTGTAACAAGGCATTTTAGTTTTTCTTTTATGCTCCATTCTTCCATGAGGTGATTGTGAGCTAGGGCCATGTTATCTGATGTATGTCTTTGAGGAAAATGCTGTATTCCCAGCAATGCTGTGCAGATCTTATCATCAATGCAGTGGCAAGTTAGAGCCACGTATGGCTGCATGTTGAGTGATATCCACATGTCTGATGTGATACTCACAGCCACTGCATTCTGGATACTCTTCTTGGTCTTTTCCTTTTCCTCCTCATATTTTTGAGTAACCATGGCTTTTAGGGCTTGAAAAACATACATGACTATATAATTGAGGGGTAGCACAGTGCATTTTGGGATACCTGGGTTCATCACTATTTCATTGTCAGTCTGCTCATTTTCATGCAAGACTCTATAATGCTGTGATTTTTAAATGACAGCTTTTTGGAACAGATCCAACACTTTACCTTCAAATGCAACAGAAAGGCCATGCATGGAAAATGTGGTTTTACAATTGTTTTATTTGGAAAAGTAAGTTACCTTATTAAATGTAATTTCAAAATGTTTCCAAATTGGAGAACTTTTTCTTGCTGGTTCCATTGGTGAATAAAATGAAAAATCTCCTGAGAAACTTTCGACACAGTTTTTCGCACCAATATGCAAAGTCACTCAGAGTTTTGTTTCCTTATAGGCAGACACCTCTGGTACATAAATGACACATCAACTGTGTCGATCATGTGATTATCCTTAAAACAGTATGTGTGTTGATATGAATCTTTATTGGGTTCAATTTTTAAGTCGGTTGTTTGCGTTTTGTTAATTTACATTTCTAACGCTGTTGTTCCTTTTCATTAGTTGCGTTTTCCTTGTCCTGGCAGTACTGCACACACCTGAAGTTTACGCATAGAGAGGGAGATGCTGTCAGGATTGGCCCCCATCTTGGCCCATTCAGTCTGTCATCTCCCTGTTTGGCCGGCAGGTGTCTCTGGTCATCCCATCTCTCATTGTATTCCAGGACTGTTCTGTTCCTGTTGTGTTCCCCTGCTCCCTTGTCTACCACATGGCTGAATGGGCTAAGTGGGTGGTTGCTAATTGAGCATCTCTTCCATCATGGCTCAGATATTGTTTTGCCTCATTAGACATTGTTGGATATTTTTGTATTTTTAAACCTTACAGATCCTGTTTTATTTACCAGGGGTAGGCAGTCTTATCCATATTAGGCCATTGTGTGTACTGTTTTTCGCTGAATCTTCCAAATTAGATTACTAATTAGAGGATTGATTGGTTCTAACACCTGGGTTTGAATAGCTGACCAAAAAGTATTACAAAAAGCCTGCATATACAGGAGTCCTTTAAGGATAAGATTGCCTGCTTCTGTTATATACCTTTTTAATTTTCTTGTTTCTGCATGGCTCATTGTTTTGTAACTTTGTTTATTCTTGCTTGTGCTCCACTTTTTTAAGTTTTGTAATCCAGGTATTTCCTAGTGTTCAATACCTTAGTATTTGTTAATGACCCTCACCTGTGTCTTGTTGCCCCCAGTTTGGGTTATTGTTACGGCCTGCACCTGCCCCTCCTGTAGCCCATGTTATCTGTGTATTTAAGTGCCTGCCCTCATTCTGTTCCTTAGTTGCTCGTTGTGTTTGTTCTTGTGTTGCTCCCTGTTTTCGTTCTTTATGTTAACCTGCTTTGTTTTTGACCCCTAGTGGTCCTTTGTTTCTGGTTTCTTGTACAGTTCTTGGTTTTTTAATTCAATAAAGCCTCTTTGTGGTGGATCATCTTTCCACCATGTCACACCATAACAACAAACATACACTATAGGCTGCCTTAGAAAGACATACTGTAATAATTCTGTTCAGCTGCAAAGCTACTTTTATCCCTTCCGGTAGATGGTCCAAGACCATCAGCACTTGGACGACAACTTACAAAGATAGTGTTTATCTGCATTTAATTAAACCCCTCAAGAAATGTTAATAAGATATATTATGCATTTGTCTATGGTGATATTGCTTGTGTTGTTGTTTGTTATGGTTGCTTTACTTATTGTTTTCCATCCATCATCTACTGATAACTGAAACCATGGATACTGAGACCGCGAATCACGAATGAAGGGGGGACTCTGTATTCTGTTTCTTTTCTTTATTATCTAGCCGCATGGTCTGCAGGAAACATGCAAATAAGAATTTCATTGCACTATATACACATAACAATAAAACATCTTAAACCCTCATACTGAAATAAAATAAAGATGTGTTTATTTGTTAGATGACAGTGATGTCACTGACCAGTTTCTTTATCCTCAGGTGGAAACAGTTCATGAGTGCTTATGAAATGTTCATGATTATTTTTCACAAAAAAAATTCTGTACTTTTTCTGCCCTGGAAACAAAGATGACGCAAAGGAGACATAAATCAATGGAATTTATACTCTCAAATATTATATATAAGACAAAGTCACACATAATACTAAGCATTATTTCCTAACTATAGGTTTCAGTGAGCCAGTTCACCCAATGAGAACCTCCATCCAGCAGCATAAAACAAATCCAAATGACATTTTAAAGGAAATTTAAAAGCTGAAATGTTGTGCGTAATTAAGATGGATGCCTGTTTCCTCATAGCTATATTATTAATCTGACAGTTATACACATGTAAAACAAACCATTGGAACCTAGCATATAAAATATTAAATATCAGTCTTAATTAAACCCGACAGTCAAATACAAAAATAAGATGTTTACTAAAATCTTTCAAGTTCCCAGCCCATTCCCATCAGGAATTTAACATACAGGTTAGTGATATAAAATAATATTTTGTACCAGCTTAAGCAATAAAGTGAAAGTAGTTCACATGGTTGACCTTGACCATTTAATTACTGACTGCTCATACTCCTGGTGGATCAAAGTGGTCTACCATGGTGATTCTATGACACATGCTGCATTTCACAAAAACTTTTATATTCGCAGTGTGTAACATTTTATTATAGTATTTTCTAATGCATTTGTTACATCTTACACATATCACCATGCAGTCCATTAAGAATGCTTGAAATCCTCTTGTGTTGTGAAGTCTAATAAGGAGAAAAAACAACAAAAAATCATGCTCTCGATATTTTATGCCTGGCAGTCACCTCATTTGCTTTAAACTGGAGACCCACCAAGACACTGAAGTTATGCTTCTACTTCAGGCTGTCGTGGCAATTCCAGACCAGCAGGTGGGGCTGTTCTCCTGATGGCTACTTTACTGTCTAGGACAGTCTGATGACCCTGTTGGCCTGCAGACTACGGTGGCATGTCTAATTAATGGTTGCTTTTAACTACACTGGCACCCAATCAATACGGGAAGATGATCGCCACGGACAGAAAAGCAGAGGAGATGTCATAGGAGAGCTTGGCATATAACTGACCTCAGATTCATCCTTCTAAATCTATCAACTTAAGGAAAAGCAACCTTCTCTTTATGTAGCAGATAGCCTGAAAATTCCTGCTCTGCATTCACAAATTCAGTTAAAGAGTTATCCGAAAAAGCAATATTTAAACGAACATAGATAATTTATTACGCATTAAAAATAATCATGTCATACTGTAACAAAATTTTCAATTCATGCTTTGAATCCACTGCACACTGAGATACTGCAATTAAATTAGACAAAATATTTCCCAAATAACATATTAGAGCACTAACAAGCATGCATGTGAGACATGCTAAAATGAAAACAAGCCTATCACTGGAATCGTTTTTTATGAAAAGGCTGTCTGCATAAAAGTAAACTTTCATTTAAAACAAAAATATGTTTTTGCTCTTTAATCCTGTACAAATAATGTAATCCAAAACATGGCCAAGCCATTAAAACATGAATTCATTTAATATCCATATATGATTAACTTTAAAGCCGCTTGACATAATTTCCTGGGAAGGTTCCAAAGAGCTTGCTCCTCCTGGAGATGCCTTGGAAAAATAGAGGAAAATTAAGCTATTTTTGCATTTTCCAGCTTTCACTGCATATGACATTTTTAACCAGAAGTTTAAATATGAATTGATTTATAATGCTTTATTGTGCGATAAATTATGATAGGGGTTAACCATTCTGCTCTTAGAGTGAATGTGATTGGCAGAGGTGGAAATTTCATGTCCACAAAGTAAAAATCCAGACCATGATTTTGTTACAACCGCCCAGTTGAGTATAAAGTCATAGTCACAGAGACTCAACTGGCTGGTGGAAACAAAGTCTGGTTCTGAATTTTTACTTTCTGGACCTAACATTTCCACCACTGTGATTGGACTGAATGTTAGAAAAATGCAACATAAACCCTGGAGTACATAACATGAACCATGCTGAAGTAAGGGCTGGTCTCCTGCACACCGGTATGCCCCTAACATGAACGGTGCTGCAGTAAGGGCCGGTCTCCTGCACCCCGGTATGCCCCTATCATGAACCGTGCTGCAGTAAGGGCCGGTCTCCTGCACCCCGGTATGCCCCTAACATGAACCGTGCTACAGTAAGGGCCGGTCTCCTGCACCCCGGTATGACCCTAACATGAACCGTGCTGCAGTAAGGGCCGGTCTCCTGCACCCCAGTATGCCCCTAACATAAACCGTGCTGCAGTAAGGGCCGGTCTCCGGCACCCCGGTATGCCCCTAACATGAACCGTGCTGCAGTAAGGGCCGGTCTCCTGCCCCTGGCTCCGCCACGTTCCCTCCAGGCCCTCTCAGTCCCCGCTTTGCCCTGCAAACTCACCATATGTTTTCACACTTCAAGCCTTTATCTGAATCATAAACCTGGAATAGATAACGACCCTCATCCTTGGCATTCTATCTTTTATCACCTCTTTATTTAATTCACATCCTTTCATAGGCCCCTTACCAACAGAATTCAAGACAGCTCACGTAACACTGCTATTTAAAAAGAAAACTCTCCCTCTGATCTCTGCAGATATCAAGCTATGGAGATATCCATGACTCCCTGCTGCCATTCCGGCCCGAGGTCCATGTTTCTTAAAGACTGCAAACTGCTCAGTCATTTGGCTTTTGTCCCAGTCGTTCCACTACAACAGTCCCCTTCTCTGGTGTCTAATTCCTACACAATGTTCTGTCCTCATTCTTTGTCTCTCTGCTGCCTTCCTTACTCCCCCAGGGTGCTTGGGATTTGTGAAACAGTGGGTTCCTCTTATTTCTGGTCTAATACTGAAACTCTGTTTAATTGACATGCCTTGTACTCTGTTAATTGAGGGAGTCTTGTTCAAAGATTTTAACACTTGGGGCCTGTGTTTAGCTGGATAACTAATCAGATTTAAGGTGCCCCAGGTTAAATTTGCTTTATCTTAGTTCAGGGGTGAGCAATCTTATCCACAAAGGGCCGGTGTTTATGCAGGTTACTGGTATAACCTTTATGTTCTAACAGAGGTGTGAGGACTCTTAAGTCAATCAGTAATCTAATTAGAGAGTTGCAGTGCAAACCCACATACACAGCGGCCCTTTCAGGGGGCCCCCACATTAAAAATGCTTCTGACGCCCCTGCTTTCAGGATAAGATTGCCCACATCTGTCCTAGTTCACTTACATTTAGCCCAGACTCCCATTAATCCGACAAGTTATCCAGCTAACCAAGAAATCCTGAAATTCCTGAAACCCCTTAAATTCAAGGAATGAAGTGTGCAGGATGGTACATCTCCACAAGGAGGGCTGGGCATCTGTGGCTTGCAGTTGTACTCCTCTTTTGGGTGTGTAGTATGCTATATTATAGCAAGCTTTATTTTATATTTAGGGTTAAATTGATTACACTTAAAAGACATCCTTTAAAGAACAATGAAAGCTTACCTACAAACCAGCCATCATCACATTTTTCCATGACATCTACAACATCTCCTTCCGTGAGCTCCAGCTCGTCTTCGTTGTGAGGCGTGTAGTTATACAGCGCTTGAAACCTAAGATATCAACATGACTCAGTTAGGGACACGGGGCGGAGGAGAGGCACCATACAGACCATCTGCTAAATGCAGCTGGACAGCAAATCCAGGTAAACAAAAAAAAACAGAATAGATTGATTTCCATTTAAAATCAATTTCTCCGCTCTACTGTTTTGCTTAGTGCCACTTTTGCAGTTATCAGCCAAATCAGGCGAAGTGATTTCATGTAACTGGGTCACTGCAGTTCTCTTCCACCACTGCTACAGGTGCTGACTTTGACGTATCAGCAAGTAGCACTCTTGCTTCACCAAGTGGGGTCTGAAGCCTCCTCACTGTGTGTGTGTAGTTTGCATGAGTCTCTCTGCCTCCCTTCTGATGCATGTGTTTCCTCTGGTGTCACATGGCTTGTGTGTGTGTACAGGCCCCGTGACGGACTGGCATTCTGTCTGCAGTCAATCCCTGACTCATCCCCTGGGCTTCCTGTCCAACTGTATTGTACTGTAATGCTTTAAAAGTGGACTTTCAAAGTTTTTTTTTTCCGATTATTTTATATTCTGATGAATTGCAAACAACACTTTTTACCGAATAAAACATTTCCGAAGAACAGACTTACAACCGAGTACTATAATGAAAACCAAGGAAAAGAAGAGTTTTTGGACTGGAAAAGAAATATTTACAAATCCATTTAATGTCTTAATGTGTCATGCATACCACAACAGCAGGAGATTATAGGAAAATAAAATATTTCATGAATATTAATTTTTGCAAAACCAGAAATGTGGTGAGATATAAACATTTAAATTAAAACTAAATACAAAGACATTGCAATCTGTTTAGAGTCTGTATCAGACCAAATGTAAAACGTTTACATATTTTCGTTAGTGGTAGTCCATTAAAATGTATTAAAAACAATGACAACATTCAGCTTAACCAACAGAAAACAAGTAGTATTTTTATTACCACCTGATATCATAATTTGAATAGTTAAAATATAACAGAAAATATATCAATAGAGCCCATGTAATATAAATAGAATCTGTAAAATCTTTGGAAACATGTTGTGGTCATGTGAACCACATGACCACAACATGGCTTGTATATTACAAGCCACAACTGGCTTGTAATATATCAAATAATAGTTTTGTACTGTATGACAGTTGGAAGGGAGACCAAACATAATGTTAACTTTAAAAGGCAAAAAAATGAACAGTCTTCTCTTCCTGTTCACATCAGCAGTGTCCATGCTGGTGCAACTGTGTTTTTACACACTAGTCAGTGATCAAGGTACCAAGGCAGGCAATCTGAAAAACTTCATGGCTGTGAGGCTCATCGCAACACATGAGAGGCAGACTGACAGGTCCTGATCTACAGCATGTAGCATGTAGCTCATTTTACCCCACGCTGCTTCATACGATCTCTGTGAAATACTGTCAGTGTTTAGGGAGGACATGTCTGTTGGAAGCTGAATGTCACTCACGGTTCCCCTCCACTCTGCAGTGAATCAGGCCCGAAGGCAGCCCGCTGTGGCTGAAATAAAAGCAGACAGGCAATGAGTTAGACGACTAATCCCACGACTCTTGCTTTTACTTGCTGTAACCAGTGAATTCTGTGGCCACAGGTAGCTGGACCACTGTTTCTGCACATTGTCTGGGCTGAGAGCCCAAGTATGTCACAGCGAAGACCATGCTTGTATAAATGCAGAGAATAAGGAGCTCCATAATACTGAAATTCTTTACATCTTGTAATTTGCTGCCACAATTCTATAGGTTTGATGAAGGCTTGTTAAACTTTTGCCTCGATTTAAACAATCTGTAACACTTGTCTTCCATTTTATAATTTCCATTACTATTAAGATCTCCCAGATTAATAATCCATACACTCAGTTTGTGAAATTTTTCCTTTAAAAAATTGTCAACCTGTAAGTTTTTTCCATCCATATTTTATAATTATTGTTTCTTTTTAAGCTTGTTTTCTACATATAAATTCATTGCTTTGTTCAATAATTTTCAGTGCAATGGGTAGAAACTTCCAGACCAAGTTCCCCAGTTCCAGTCCTGGAGGGCCAGAACCTAACACAGTTTGCAGATGTCCCTGCTCAGACACACATACACCTGGTAATTAGCTGATTAAGATGAGAAATCTGCAATCCCTGTTCTGGCACTCCAGGACCGGAACTGGGGAGCTCTAGATGCTATGGAGAGTGTACAGGCAGTAAAGAATAAAAACATTCATTCATCTTCTATACCACTTGTCATATATGGGATCCTGGAGTCGGGCACAAGGCAGGGATTAACCCAGGATGAGGCACCAACCCACTGAAGGGCACTCAAACACACCATTCACACTTTGGCAACCCCACTTCACCTTAGCATGTTTTTGATTGTGGGGAGAACCTTGGAAACAGGAGAACCAAGAGGAGAACATGCAAGCTCCACATACACAGAGCCGGGGCAGGGAATCGAGTCCAGGTCTCCAAAGATGTGAGCCACACTAAGCATGGCACCACTGTGCCACCCCAGCAAAAACCATAATGCACATGACAGCTGTATTATGGCTGTATTGCCATAAACTTATTTTTTGTTGAATGGCTACTTACTTTTAATTGATAAAATGAGCGTATGGATTTCTTAAACTGAGGAAACAAATTACAAGGAAGGAATTATTCTCCGCATTCTTTTCAGTGTAAGTATATTATGCCATGAAAATGTGCAAATGCCCAATAGCGTGTTCGCCTTCTTGCAGAGGCAAACATCAACTTCATTTTAAACGCAAGCAGTCACACTAGTAGACAACCCAAGATTCAAATCCCCATCAAAAAGACACAAGCTGTTGTTCCCAAAAGGAGAGTCTTTCTTTAGTCTTGTTTGCTTTATTCCTCTGAATAATGAACTGGATTTAGAAGCATGCCAACGGTTTTTAAGAGTGCCCATGAGGTGTACTGTACCTACTGTACATGGTCAACATTTCATCACTCTAGTTTAACCTTCTGCATTAGTCAGAATTGGCGAAGCAATTCATGGATTATAATAGACATATCCATTATTAAGGCCACGATATGATTTAATTGACTCATTTAACAAATATCGATTCATATCATTAAACATGACGATTCACCAAAAACGCTGCTGAAAAAAATCTTACATAAAGCAAAAGACTCATCTTAGCAGAGAGTAGGGACCAATGTACATTACATTACATACAAACGTACATTACTGTACATTTCATGTGGTCTAATACACCTATTTTCCTATGTCTTCAGAGAATAAGTTATACATGTCCAGAAACAGTTTTTGGTTGTTAAAGCAGTGATACAAGACAGAATGTTTCATGTGCAGACATTTCTTGTGTTTCTGTGACATGTAGTTTTTTCCACCATATTCTGTTGTTAAAATGAAAAGTCTTTCTGAATTCAAATAAATTCCACTAAAAATCAGCTTATGTTTCACTGTATTGAAAATATTGATCATGTATTACTGAATCTAACTGAATCGTATTGCATCACAGAAACTTTTCAAATATCGCCAGATATCAAATCACTGCCTTGCAAAATGGAAATCAAATCGTATCGTGCCAAAGCTTACGATATACACCCCTGTAGCATTCCATGTGTCAGGCCATTTAGACAAGATGCACTTAGACACCTGCTATCCAACCAGACCCACAAGCAGCATTATCATGCAGATTGCATCTGTTCTTACCCTATGAGATGATGAACCTCTAATAGGTGACCCACAGAACCTTCTAGACATTAAAGGACTGCGAGGAGGTTTACCAATCACAATGACATCTCGCTTTAAGGCAGGCTGAAAACCAGAAGCACAGCGTGCAGTGAGTCAGCCAGGGTTGGATACTGTCATTGTCACTGAACTTCATTCATCAGTCAGATGCCGCAAGTTATAATTGGAGATGTAAGGGAGATGAGACAATCATATATTGATCCTTGAGGTCACAAAGATGGCAGAATATAAGCATTCTACAAGGCAGGTGAGAGAGGACTGTGAATTTATATTAGACTACATCTTCCATATTGACATAACTGACACGGACAGAACAGTGGACCAAAATTATAGAATCCTTAGTACAGACGCTCCGGGTTATGATGGTCTGTGTTACGATATTTTGACTTTATGATGGGTATTCCAATTCCATTCTGTTTGTACTTTCAGTACATTATTCAACAAATGATGAAATATTCAACATTTTATAATAAAATAAGCTTTGTGTTAATGATTTTACCCAACTGTCAGCTAATGTAAGTATTCTAAGCATGTTTAAGGTAGGCTAGGCAAAGCTAAGATATTTGTTAGGTTAGGTGTACTGTATTAAAATGCATTATTGCTTACGGTATTTTCATTTATCAGAATGTAACCACATCATAACTGAGGGAGCATCTGTATGTTATGTCTTTATAGTAAACATCATCCAAATATATTATGCTATCTTAATATGCAAAGTAGTAATTGCTATAATCTGCACAGAGATAATTGCTGTTTTGCAGAAAACTGTAGTACAGTCATACCTTGGCTCACGAACTTAATTCGTTTGAAGACTCAGTTCGCGACCTGAATCAATTTTTCCCATTTAAAATAATGTAAATGAAAATAATTCATTCAAACCTAAGAAACACTGATTTTTTTCAATTCTGTTAATGTTTTTCTGTGACCTAGAATATAGACTTAAATTAAAATAACCTTAAAGAGCAAAAAAGGGAAAGATTGAACATACTTTTTATGGAAGGCGGACCAATACACAACTGAGCATACGCTTGTTGGCGGGCTGGTCACTCAAAAGATGCCAAAACACAGAAAAAAACCACATAACATCCCCCCCAAAAAACGAAACTAACATTAAACATTAAAAGACTGAGTAACAGTCAAAAACAATACAGTAATTTCGAAAACGAGATTTAAAAAAAAATTATACTGTACATTATTTTCATATGCCTAAAATTTGTATGTACATTTCGTGATGCCAAGCGTTGTATGGCGATGAACTTCTCTGTTTGTACTGTAAACAAACTATATGCAGTTGTCACTACGTGTGAATGGAGCATATAATACTTAAATAAGAGTTAAGTAATTTATGTTATTAATGAAGTACTGTAATTTTATGTGTAGATATGTGACTGTTAAAAACCATCACAAACATGTTTATCAATCACTGAAAGGTACCACTATAATAGAACGTTCTCTCTATTTTTTTCTTTTTTCAGATATTCAACCTCTGAAGAGATAAAGACATACATCTACAAGTTTTTTATTCATTCCACAACACTTCTTTGTGTTTCGTGCGGTTCTTTGGGACCCTTTTGGGGGATGTTTGTGTTCACAGCCTGAAACACGGTTCACGAACCAGTACAAAAAATTTCTGAACATCTGGTTCGTAACCCGATGTGTTCATGAACAGGACTGTTCGTGGGTCGAGGTACCACTGTACTTCATTTTTATTACATTACATAAATTAATTAATTACAGACTGCAGTAATAATAAACAGTCACTGGTTTGTTTTCCCCCTGGACACTGCATGTACTCTGCTGTGAATCAACTATTTAGGGACACTTCACATGAAAGAATGAAAGAAAACTTCTTTGCTAACTTTGATTTGTGCATAGTCATGTGAAAAAATATTTAGTTCTTTACTAAGAAATATCAACATATCAATATTAAATCTTCTTTCAAATTATATCTGTAGATAAAGGTGATGTAATTGCATCGCCTATGCAAAAACAAAAATAAAGTCCCGTATTTAACATAAGAAATTAACTAAGATACCAATGAAAAAGTTAGGACACGCTGTGCCCTAATAGGTAGTATTTCACCCTTTGGCTAAAATAACCTGAATGACACATTTTCTATAACCATCTATCAATCTCTGACATCGACTGGCAGAAAGTTTTCCCCACTCTCCAATGCAGAACTCCTTAAGCTGTGGGATGTTTGAAGGGTGTCTTGCATGCACTTCTGCTTCAAATCATCCCACATCATCTCAATAGGATTCAGATCCGGGCTTTGACTTGACCATTCTAGAACTCTTGACCATTCTATTTCTTTCTTGTAAGCCATCCCTTGGTAGATTTACTGGAATGTGTTTTTTGGCAGTAAGGGTTTCCTCCTTCCACAGCTCCCATGTAAACCACACTTGTGCAGTCTTTTTCTGATGGTAGATGCATGTACCTTGACATCAGCTGTGGCAAGAGCTTCCTGGATGTCCTATGATGATATTTTAGGATTTTTGGAGACTTCTTTCAGCATCTTGCAGTCTGTTCTTGGGCTGAACTTGCTAGGACAGCCTGACCTGCTCATATTGGCAGTTGTTTTAAATCATTGGTGAGCAATCTTATCCACAACTGGCCGGTGCATGCAGGTTTTTGCTGCAACCTTAATTAGAGAATCGATTGGCTGAAGAGTCCTCACACCTGGGCCTGAACAGGTGACCTACAGGTTATCCCAAAAACCTGCACACACATCAGCCCTTTGCGGATAACATTGGCCAACCTTGTTTTGAATGTTCTCCACTTGCAAATTATTCTCCGGACAATGGAGCAGCTAATTTCAAACTTAGATATTTTTATATCCTTCCCAGACTCATATGCATCTATAATATTCTTTCTCAGCATACAAGCACCGCCAATAAGCTCTTTAACAATGTTTTAACCATTTTCACCTAATGTGGTGCACCTGATTCTGAATGTGAGGGTGTCCTAACTTCTTGCTCAGTGGAAATTGGCATCATGGTTAATTTCTTATGTTAAATAAGTGAATTTATTTCTTGTTTTAGCATAGGTGATACAATTGATCATCGTGAAACTTGAAAGAAGACTTAGTATTGATATTTCCTAATGAACAAAATATTAAAATTTTTTTCACATGATTATACAAGTTTTGAAATGGCAAAGAAAGCATCTCATCTCCACACTTAAGTATACTGAACAAGTACATGAAAACAGACAGGGACCAACGTCCCAGTGAGACAAAGTGAAACCTGTCAAGGCAGCATGGCATGTCGCATTTGGAATGAGGGCGACGATCTACTAAAGGTTCCAGGAGACACGGAATTTAATAACGAAACAATAATACAAAAGCAAAGGACCACAAACGGTCATAGATGGACGAGGAAAGACTGAGTTAAATAACTAAGACTTGACCAGGATACTGAACTAACAAGAAGTCTAAAGAATAGGTAAGGGAACAAACTATAAACTGAAACCAACAAATGTAGGACATCGCAAACGCAAGAATGTATTCACACACATACTAACCCATTCTAACACAATGACCAACTACGGAGATGAACTAAGGCAGGAACATAAATACAGAAACCAAACTGGGTAACGAAGCAGCAGGAGTGAGACATGAAACAATTAACCAATTAGAGAGGGTGCAGGATAATAAGCAATCAGGTAGAAAAATCACGAGGTAAAGGGAAACAGGTGAGTCTAATAAACTTAATCATGGAACCAAGAGACTAACAAGAAAACTAAGAAACAGAATCAAATACTAAGAATATAACAGACAGGTAAAACAAAACCACAAACACAGGCACCTACTGTAGCAAAACAGAACACAAACCAAAAAACTAGGAACACGAAAACTAAAATAGAAAATAAACACTGGGGAACAAAATCCAACAATTACAGGTAAACTGTGAAAACTGCCCTCAAACACAACAACCAATAGGTTTACAGCCACACGCTCAGCCCACAGAGCTATGTGGCCATCTAGGGAACAGGGAAAACACACTATGTAAGACTAGGAACCAAGACAGAGGTGGGAATGATGGAATGGTCAGCAATGCCTGCTGGCCAAAGGGGGAACAGTCACAGAAGACAGGGTCAGACGGTACAGACCCTGACAAAAACCCAGCTCTCCAGAAGGGGTTCTAATCACTTTTTAATATGCAGCCCAAACTGTGCCGACTGAGAGGTGCGTGTGGATTCTAGCTTTAATTTACCTTTGTTTTTGGGGACCTACACTCTGGGCGGGGGGGGTATTTGTTTGGAATGGGGCAGAGATGTGAGGTGCCCGGTAGTGGAGGAGTAGAACAGGGAGAGGAGGGTGACATTTTGGCCTCAGTGGGATGTAGGAAGGCAGGAAGGTCCACTGGGCTACTCAAGGAGGCGTTCACCTGCTGAAGACAATGGAGAATGAACCACTCATTCATGTGCACTAGGAATTGAGAGAGAAGAATTAGCCAAACTGACATTTATATAGCTGCATTATCCATTTTGTCCACACAGCCATGATCACATGACAAACACAGGTTCTACCTCTTGTTTTGAACCTTTGCTGTCAACGAGTTTGGTGTTTCCAGTGTTCTCACATGGATCCTCCTCGATATATAATTTGGGGAGCTCCTCTGTTATATCTGATGCCTGCGTGTGGAACTTGTTTTTTTCTGTAAATTCCTTCCTTGACTGGGCCTCTTGGATGAATGACACGAGCTCTTCGCAAACATCTTCCTCTATGGCTTTATAGAAAGGCAGCACCTCAGTTAATGCACTGGCCACCAGATCACTTGAAATGCTCGGGCTGAACATAGTAGATGGTTCTGTAGAAATCATCTCGGTTCCTTCTGGGAAGGCGCTGGGCAGGTTTTCCACAGATTTGCGCAAGGACACATCTCCACTGCTATATTTGTAGTCGCAGTCGAACATGGGAGAGGCTGGGGAAGATGCGTAGGAGGACATGGCCTGGATCGGAGAAGACTGAAGCTCAGGAGAGCAGCGGAAGGCCTTTGCTGACTTGATGGGGATGAAGTGACCTTCCCTAAGAGCAGGAAGATCGTTTGATGGTGTTAGGCTTTCAAGGGAATCAAGGGTTGCATTTGGCAGAAAGTTTGTGGGGAAAGGGGGAGGGGTGGGTGCCGGTGTGCTGGAAGGGGAAAGGCCAGGGGTGAGCGACATCCAGTTGCTGCTGTTAGTGATAGTTGGGCTAGATGACTGCAAGGACCTGTGCCTCGAGGTAGGGGATGGGGTGTTCAGGCGAGGGCGGGTACCGGACTTTTCCAGGAACTCTCTCCTTTCCTGAGGACGGAAGATAAGAAGGGAAACTTTAGAATGGAAAAGGCTGGGATGATTGGTAGGTAGATAGAGACACACAGACGGATAGACAGAACTCTATTTTCAAAAAAGGCTGGTTGCAACAGTGCATATAAATGAATTGACTGTTAAGAAAGAGAGCCATGGAGGAAGTGCCCACCTTGATGGACCGCAGAGTGGATGTCCCTTCACTGGGGCAGCTCTGGATTAAGGAGGGCTCTGCATACTGTCCCGGCCTTTTGGTGGGGGGCTTCTTGATGACATTGACATAAGACACAGGAAAGATGCCCTTCCTGTCTGTCTCTGCAATCTTTCCTTCAAACCAGTTCTGATCCACACACCTCAGCAGGATAACCCTCTCCCCCTGATATAAATGTCAAAAATGCTCTCATCAGTGACTGAACAAATCAATAATCACCCAGAATCCATTTTCTATACCTGCCTGTCCTATGCAGGGTTACAGGAGTCCGGAGTCTACCGCAGAAGCTATAGGTGAAAGACAGGGAATAACCCAGGATGGGGTGCCAACCCATCGCAGCGCACACCCATACACACACACAGACACGTTGGATAAACATATCTTTATGAGGATCGCTCATTCATTTCTATGGGAAAATGCTAATGCTAACTCTGACAACCTTAACCCCTTCCCAGCCATAACCATATCCATAAGTAACCAAGCAATATACAAGTTTTTGGATTTTTAGTTTTTTCATTGCAGTCACAGATTTTTATTAAATTGAGTTTTCCCTTATGGGGACCAGGAAAAAATGGGTATTCATCACGTTGTGGGGACATTGTGTCCCCATAAGATAAGGTATACCTGCTCACACACACACACAGTCACACCTATTGGCAGTTTGGTAACTCCAGTTCACCTTGGCCCTTGGCATGTGGGAAACCAGAGGAAATCCCACAATAACATCCAGAACATCCAGGATCCACACATGTAGGTCTGGAGAGATGTGAGAGGAGTGCTAACACCCAGCTGCAAAAACCTTTTATCCTGTACAGAGTCATAGTGGCCTGGAGCCCATTTAAGGAACCATACAGCACAAAGCAGGCAACACACTTAACAGGATGCCAGTCCATCACAGAGCACGTGATCATACACCTTGGATGATTCAGAGACACCAGTCCATCACAGAGCACGTGATCATACATCCTGGACGATTCAGAGACACCAGTCCATCACAGAGCACGTGATCATACATCCTGGACGATTCAGAGACACCAGTCCATCACAGAGCACGTCATCATACACCCTGGACGATTCAGAGACACCAGTCCATCACAGAGCACGTGATCATACACCCTGGACGATTCAGAGACACCAGTCCATCACAGAGCACGTCATCATACACCCTGGACGATTCAGAGACACCAGTCCATCAC